AGCAATTACGTGAATCCTATTGAAAGTCTGTGAGGTGAACCGAAGACCAAGGTCCGTGCCAGCACACCATCAACTCTGGAGGAGCTTTGCACAAATTCACCATCACTCCAGTTTAAAATAGAATAGCAGCGACGTGGCCAGCTGATGTACTGAGCTGTAAACATGTTATTTGTCCTGCTGACGCTGACAGTCTGACTTAATTTTGGACCGAGTGGCTTTCAGAGTTTGCAGTTTTTACACTTCCATGTTGGTATTTTCTGCTCAGCCTCGTGTTTAGTTGGGCTGTGTTTGGGAGTCGTTGACCTCTCAGGTCACTGATGAACCAGCTCCCGTCAGCTGGTGTCTGATGCCTCTATTTTAGCCTGAATCAGCAAATATGAATGTTTGTAAGGTGGAGAGCAGTTTTCTTATTCTACTTTTTTCATTAGAGACTTATTTTTATGGATTTACCACAAATGAGGAGAACATACATGTTGTTACAGGGTGGCTGTAGCTCAGGTGGTAGAGCAGGTCATCTACTGATCGGAAGGTTGGTGGTTCGATTCCTGGCTTCCCCCAGTCTGCATGCCAAATATCCTTGGGCAAGATACTAACCCTAAATTGCTCTCTGATGCATCCATCGGAGTATGAATGTGTGAATGTTACTTACTTTCTTACTTAGAAAGCACTTAGATCAATGTGCTTGTGTGAATGGGTGTGAAAGCGCTTTGAGTGCTCAGAGGAGTAGAAAAGTGCTTTATAAGAACCACAAACATCACAAACAAACAACATCAAGCCTGAACCAAAGTTTGCTCTCCCCCCTGTAGCTCTAACTCACTAACCTCCTGATCTACTGATCATGCCTGCACCCCCCAGTGTGGGTGGAGGTTAGCTAGGAAGCACTGAAAGGTGCTTGTGTGAGTGAGTGAGCATGTTGTATAAAGAGCTGTGAGCGTGAGAGTAGAATAGTGCTTTATAACAACGAGTCCAATAGCTCAAAGTCCTCTCTCCCAGCTCGTCATCAAACTAAACTCTGCTGATCCAGGGTCAGGGGAACAGGTGACGGCTTGTTGTTGTCGACCCTCTGATGAACATTTGTGTTGTCTTCACTCAGCTGTACAGTCTCCTCTATCACTACAGCTGCTTCTCCTTTTCCTTTGGCTCATTTCTTCATTTTCTCATATTCGCTTGCATTTAAATCTGAATCCCCGTCTCTCTGTGTCCTCGGCCTGTGCCACTACACTCGCTGTCTTTGGATCATCTACCCCCATCTACCCACTTTTCACATAATGGTATGATCCCAATCTGTCTCTCCGTGTGATTGGCCACATTGGATGCTGAGCAGCTGAATCTTCAGCTCTTCCTGACTGAGGTCGGCTCGTTCACGAACAGCTCATCACTATAATCAACGTGCACTGACTCGTAGTCATGACTGCTGACTTTCAAGAACATTTCAAGAACCCACAGAACAACACTGGGAACACTGGGAACACTGGGAACATGGCAATTGTGGAGATTAAAGGGAACAGAAATAAAGGCTTCAGTGTCATCACCCTCACATCTGAAGCCAGAGGCATACATGTAGAAACACCAGTGTTGGAAAGACTGAGTAAATATGTGCATGTAAAATGATTTACTGCTGATGATGCTGGGAGCACTGGGAGCACTGGATCCTCGCCTTCAGATGAAACTTCCCCGCGTGCATCTTGTCACATTCAACTTTGACGTCTGTGTAAAATTTCCCCCCTGTCAGTACGTCTCTGTGTCCCACAATGCTTTGCAGCCTCTGAGCAAATACTTATTAGACTGTTGATAGCCCTGATCTGCTGGCCCTGCTCCCGATGTCTGCAGTGATGCACGTTGTTGTTGTTTGTATGCTGAGTTAAATTAAAGCTGCAGACACTGGCCTGCTCTGCTCATATGAAGCATATGGATCTGTGAAAAAGTTCGACAGCATCTTCTGTACAGGTGAAGTCAACGTGAAGCTGGTCAGACAAATGTGACACAGTGCTGTTAAAGTTGTTTCATCCTTTTTTAAAAACAAACTGTTGACCAGCTGGTGTATGTTACTGACTAACCATCTCTGCACTTGCAGCAGTGCAAAGTCCAGATGTTTTGGTAGCCATCAACAGCATCTGGAGTAATTGAGGCTGGGTAGCTGGGCGCTGTTCTTGGCAGATGTGGCGTAGTTCGTTTAAATAGTTTGGTTTCCTGGTGTGGAGCTAACGTTTAAGCGTAGTCTGAACATTTTCACTCGAGCTAAAGTCGGGCCCTTTGATAGGCTGTTTCAGATGCTAGCATGCTAGCATGCTTTAACCATCCCAAACCCAGATGTGCGTTTGGGTTCATTCTTCTGTTCAAACACACATTTGTGTCCTGCTTTCAACTGTCTAGCTGAAGAATTGAAAGGTAGTCCTTCATTGTTCTCTCCGTTTTCTGGAAACAGCCCAGACGCTTCACAGTTCGAACGCCTTCCAACCAACCTGTGTCTCCTCTGACCATAAACCCCTCTGAGTCCACGGCGATGTCAAACTGGCTTCAGTAACTTATTGAACGCTGGTGTTCCAGCAGTTTGTAGTTCATGGCAGGCTTCGCCCTGTTAGGAACAGGCCAGGAAGCACTAACTAACTCGTCTCTTCTCCTCTCAGGGTTTCCTGCAGACCTCAGTAAAGTGGTGACACCTGAGATTAACTTGTGATGATATCAGACTGTCGACGATTTAAATACCCTCTGCCAGGAGAGTGGCCGATTCTCCAGACGCTTGTTGCTGGTCTAGTCGAGGTGCAACGTGTGAACATTAGTGATTGCGGATGTATTTGTGGCCCAATGTGGAAGAAAGAAAATGAAAAAGGTGCACATTAGTTCATGATGTGCAAAGAAATCAGTAAACTTGCTGTGACATCTGTGACAGCTCGTTGTTTCCACGTTGATCTAATAGGACGATGTAATCAGATACGAAGGTTATTTCGATGTACAAACCATAAAAGAAAATGAAATCATTATTGAAGCCCTCTGATGAAGCTAATTACATTAAAGGTCACTGAGACACATGGAGGCATTGTCTGCCGTCACAGTCAGCAACGCTGTTTCCTGACTACGGCTGAAAACACAAAGAACTGCTCAGTCAGACGTTAATGCTGCTTTAGCTTTTAGCTTGCATCACTCGTGCGTCAGCGGTGATGTCACTGCCCTGCAACAACAAACCTCACCTGTCAGCAGCCCCGGGAGCGCTCTTTAGATTCTGCCACAGCATCTTTCAGGCTCCACTAAAGAGCAGAGCTCCTTCATATCTCGTCTGCGCTGTGGAGCTGGGACAGAAAAATGAGGAACAACCGAGAGATCTGGGTTTTTACATGACACACATGTGAGCAATAATCCAGTTATGACTCATAATCCTGCTGACAGTTTGGTGTCAACAAAGTGTTTGTGCTGGTGGGCAGGGTTGGAGAAAAGAGCGAGGGGAAGGAGATTAGGGAAAGGAGCAAGAAAGATTTCCAACAGCCAGCGAGGAAAAGACGCCAGCAGAGTGTAAAGAGAGGAGCTCTGCAGAGAAACTCACAGTTGGAGATTTGTGGTCAGCTGGTGTGGGTCAAAGGTATGCCCGTGGTGATCGCCGCGAGAGAGCGAGCGAGGCGGCGGCGAAGGAGAAAGAACAGAAGTAGGGTAATCTGCGGGGATAAGCACAGCTGCCCTTGTTCCTGTTGAGCTGTGCGTTGTGTTTTGGAAACTCGCTCCTGACCACATGCTGAGCCAGCCTCCTGTGACCACCAGCATCTTACTGTCACACACGCTGTGGGCGCAGGACCAGTGTGGGAAAGCGCTTTGCAGCGAAGGCTCAGAGAGCGCTTTACGCTGATCGCAGGCGGGCGCGTTGTGTCAGGGTGATGGTCGATAACAGCAGCCACCACTTTCATTAGCTACAGAGCAGCAAAACAGGCTAAAGGTCACCGAGGCCGAGGCAGGTAAACCCTGCAGATGACACATGAGACACAACCAGTAGGACCAGTATGTACTGCACTGGCCCTTCTTGCTGCAGTATTGATAGCACGGCTTCTGCCATTCTCCACCACTCAGATGTTGGTATCAACTCTGTCTGTGAGGAAGACGTGGGGGTGTGAGCTATTTCAGCTCTTCATCGAATGTTTTCTACATTTAGCCTGGACACGGTTAAAGAGATCAGAGAGGTGTGATAGCTGATCCCAACATCAGTCAGGGCTGAACGTGGAGCCTTTCTGGAAATGTGTCATGAAGATGAAGGAGGTGCCTGAGCCGTGTTAGAGCCGCTGATGGTTTTCCAGGATGAAGGAGTCCTGGCATCGGAGCTGTTTTTGAGCTCCGCTTCTGTATTGACCCAGTTCACCTGTTCAGTAACAGTGGGGTTGGTTCATGCATCATGCAGTGTAGTGTGTGTCCTCTGTGTGTTGTTGCAGAAACATCAGAGCCTGCAGGTTTTATTGGGCATTGAAGAGTTTCTTCTTATCGATGTCCTACTCTGTGATTAGTTTGTTCCAGCGCTGCAGCGCAGCACAGGCCTGACTGCGTGGGCCGTCGTTCGTCCTGCTGCTCGGCTGCCCAGCAGGCCGGGCTGGCACACAGTGAGCTCATTGTGAGCCGGTGCCCTGCTGGCATTCTGACTAACTGACCACTCTACTATCTAACCCTGGAGCAAGCGCTGATGAAAGGGGGCGACTGTGCTGCTGAAGCTCACTGAGACTGGGTGACTCCTCGTCCTCTCCACAGTGGGGACAAAGCACAGCGTACACGGCCCCACAGTATGAAGCAGGCTGCTTTATTAAAGGCTGGATGAAGAGCTAAAGAACAGATCAATAAAAGAAATAACAGACTGCGCTCTGTGGCTGCAGGAGGATGCACCAGGATGGGCTGCAGGTTGTTTTCAGCAGGTCTGAACACCTGATGGTCACACAGCACTGTGATAGGCTGCTGCTGTGGAATCACTCTCATTGACCTGATGATATATATGTTTGTACAGGTGACTGATCTGGTGTTTTTACTGTCTGCAGGCTTTCAAAGAGATGCTGTATGCTGCTCAGGACCAGGCGCCGTCTATCGAAGGTATGCATGCACACACAGTCACTTAAGGCCTCACAGGAAATTACATCGACTTCCTGTTTCTTTCACCTTCTCTAGTCTTACTTATCAGAGCTGTTGCTGTCTTGCTTTGTACTGGAAACTGTTGTGTTATCATTTTGGTGTAAGACCACGCGTGTTACACGTTTATATTAGTGCCACAGCTGAACATCCAACCCAACAATTCCTAAATACTGATGTTCAAAAAAACATGGCGTCAATCACAGATTAAAATAGGTTAAAGACATCAGTCACAGTGAATGGTACATCTTGTACATCTTTAATGGCTATAAACAGACACAGAACTTCTCTTTTCTATAACACCTTCCATACAAGGTAATAAACTTCAAGCGCTCAGGTTCTCTGGGGCTAATTATTGACTAAAATACAGTTAGAAGCTGAATGAGTTTAAACACATTCCTAGAGTATATGTGTTATATGTATTGTAAGCATGCATGCAGTTACCCGTCTATGCTCTAGTCTCTAACACAATAGATTGTGAAGACGTCGCGCTTATGTAGACTGAGCAACAACTCTTAATGAGCACAAATACTAAGCACTGTGTATGAAATACTTCTGTTAACATAATGGATCCTCAAATGAACATCTTCAACTTTAATGCAACATCAATACTGTGAGAAATATTATTGAATAGAATAATGCTGTAAAGAATGTTATCAATGCAGCTATAATGATGCAGATTAGGCAGCAATGAAAGAATTTCTGTATCTCCACAGGATTTAGAGATATGATCATGAAAACTGGCCTCCAGCTCAGAGTGTTTGCTGGGATAGCTGGGCACAGACTGGGAGGTGTGGTCACACAGAGTAGTGCTGCCCAGTTACTGCCTTACTTACATTCAGTTAGGCTGATTGATTGATCCTGAAAATAACGATCAGTGAAGTCCAGTATTCTCTGTTCCAAACACATTCAGAAAATATCTTCACTGCAGCTACTGATTATTTTAGTAATCGAGTAATCTATCGATTATTCCATCGAGTAATCCGATTACTGATCCGATATGCGGCATCGGTCTGATCCTGACCTAAAGTGCTGGATCGGATATCGGGGAGAAATGAGAAATGTAACCTGATCCATCAAATGTCACAAAACCTGCGACATGGCGTAACCCGGCTCGTGACCTCAGCGCGTCGGAGCAGCACGCGTCACGTGACAGAGCGGCCGCTGCGTGCGGGACCTGTCGGCGGGCTGGAGTTCACGCTGAAAGCATCTGGAGCCGCGCTACGTGCTGCCAAACCGGCACCTCGGAGGAAGCTGTCCCAGAGACACGAAGCAAGTTCCTCTGTGAATGTTTGTGGAGCTTCAGAGGCGGCACATGGAGCTGGGACGTCTGCGCGACGTGTGACCGAACGATGGACAGACTCACGATGGACAGTTTCAGGGTTCCCAAAACGAAACATGAGAAACACTTTTTTCATCCTTTGTTAAGTTTATTATAGAAATGACAGAAACGTCAGTCTGAGGTTAAACATGATGGTAACGGCTCCGACATCCATCCTGATCCACTCTGCATGTTTCTGTGTAAGAGCTCCACAGGTTGTTGAATATGAACATTAGTTTGCACTCCTTTTTCCCAGAACAAAGAGTTTCTGAAATCTGCATTAAATTACGTTTTAATTTACTTTAAATATTACTTGAAGCACTTAGACTGAAAGCTGTGCTAAAGGTTTAAATACAAAGATGTCGCTGAACTGAAGCCTTTTGTGTTTTTTAACTTTAGTGTTTTGTTTTGTAAATTTGAGTTTGAACGTGCAGGAAGATATAAACAGTTTTATTGATTACAAAATGGACTTTATCAGATTCATATCTGTATCAGCAGATATCCAAACGTATGATGTCGTATCGGGCAGAGTGGTGGTATGGCGCCATCTCTGCTGTGAACATGGGTCACACTCGGTTTGTTGATGAGGGACTCCACCAGCTCTGTGAAGGCTTGAGTGCTGGTCACAGGATAGAAGCAGCTCAGCGTCTCAGTGACGGCTCCGCCTCTTGGTCTTCACGCCGTGTAAACCGACTCGGCTGCACGTTACGGCGAGCCGGCGTCGCTGCCTCCTGATGTCAGTGTTTTGGTCTGAGTCTAGTTTTTAAATCTGGGTGATAATAACTGATGTTCCTACATATCAGCAGCATTTAAACCAACGTCAGTGTTGATTTTACGATAAATGTGTTGTTCACTAAACACGCTGCTGCTCACAGCTTTGTGCCTGTTTGCAGCAGCTGAGTGTCTTCGTTTGTGACTGAAGAAAGCAGCGCACATCATTCCTGAGTGGGAGCCCAGCAGCCCCTTCAGGAGTCCACAGTGGGAAGCACGAAGCCTGAGTGTCTGACTGCAGGTTGACGTTAGCCCAGGTTTCATGTGCAGGAGCAGTGAGGTTTCCCAAACGAAGCAACGATGGGCGTGTGATGGAAACGCACACGTCTGTCTTCACGCAGTAGCTTTGTTTGTTTGCACACAGCTTCAGCTGCATCCAGCTGAGCACATGAAAGCCCAGGATACAAACAGCATCACAGTTTTTAACCTCCAATCGTTTTATATGACGACACTTCGGCCTACATTATTGCTTAATTATGTGTCTTTGCAAAAATACAGCAGCAGGAGCCACGAAATGACCAAAATTTAAGGCCTCAAATCATCTTAGAAAGTCTTCAAACCAGTTATCAGAGGCCTGTATTCATCATGTAATGACTGGTCGTGTCACTGCGCTGCATACTTAAGCTTAAAGCAATACTAAACAACGTGACGAGCACAGTGCGCTTCCCTCATCTTTCATCTTATTTTGACAGAAGCGACTTGAACCACTTGAAGGAACTATTTCTGTCCCAAATGTGATGTTAGAAACCCAAACAGCAAACCGTGTCGCCGCTTCCACTGCTGCTTTGCACCAAACATGGCTGCAGCTGCCAAAGGACCATTGATCCTGCGTACACGGCTGAGTGCTATTAGTTTTTAATCAGCAGCAGGAGTGAAGCGAGTGAATTCAAATATCATTTCAAACCTGAGGACCAACGCACATATTTGAATGTGAGCACAGAGAGTCAGCGTACAGACGGAGTGAACTGTCACATCTGTCCAGTGTTTCACGATGCGAGGCATCCAGATGGAGTTCAGAGGTGGTGTGAAGCTGATCACGTCTGAACTTTCACACATTTTAAACTGCTTACACAGAAGAAACATGTTTCTGTTCATGTGTACATGTAACAATGACACGTTTACCTTGATCACAGTTTTAAGATAATCCAGGCTCTGGTCAGCTCACGTGTTTGTTTGTGCTGAACCACGTTCTTCAGTTTGATTAGGGTCGGCCAGTTAGCTGCTTATTGTAGCTAGCACAGGTCAGTAATCATGTATCGCTCATGGTAGGGCCGCCACGATTCGTCGACCATCAAAATCGTTGACGACTCATTTGAAGCTTTGTAAGCTCCTGAGAGACGCAGGAATAAGTAGTAGGATTTAAGAGTGTAATAACGGACTGAAACAGAAGGTGGCAGCAGTGCATGTACAAGGATGCCAGCTGCCGTTAAACCCCGAAGAAGAAGAAGCAGCTCCGGTATCGTAGCTGTGTCCAAATTCTGAGGCTGCATTTGGAGGCCGATTACGTGACAGTGACGCGACGGAGGCTGTCCAAATTCGAAGACTCCTCCAAATACGGCTGACAAATGCGTCCTTAATTTCCCAGAATTCATAGCATGGCCCAGCCAAGTCCAAGAGCACCTGGCTGCAGCCGCTGGGGAGCGCCATATTGTGACCTCCACAGCAGCCGGAAACACGTGACTTCAGTTAAATCGACTTTGACAGCGCAAACTAAATTGTGTTTTTGTTGCTATTGATGCTGCTGAGAAATAAACATGGTTCTGAGTGTTTTAACACACTAACATCCCTTCAGCTCGTTCGTGGCCAAAAGTGTCCATGTGTCATGTTTTTGTTTCTTTGCTACTTTTTCTGCATAAAGGTTTTTTCATAAACATAAAATAGTCATTACTTTTTACATTTTTAACCCTTCAAACACCTTTTTCTGGTTCAATGCACTTGTTTGAAGACAACCTCAAAACTCACCATTTCATATATCAGCAGCGCTACTGGAAACGATTGTACAGCGCTCCCTCGCTATAATGGTTCACCTTTCACAGACTCGCTGTTTGCAGACTTTTACAGAGCGTTGTGTTCTGATTGCTGTGGATCACTGTCGTGTCTCCTGCACAGCACAGAGTGCGTTCAGCTCGTCATATTCACATAAATCTTCGATGGTCAGCAGTGTGACCCTGACGTGCTGCATGTTTGTTTTCTCCCTTTGGTTTCATTCTGTAACACTGGACTTACTTTTCTACAAAGGTTTGAACTTTGAGAGTTTAAACAAGAGAGAAAAGTGTGAAATGTTCCTGCCTGTCTGACAAAAGTGTATAAACTTTGTAGTGACGGGTTTTACAGCCTTTAAACATCTGTAATCATTGTAAAAACTAAAGTTGGCTACTTCGTGGTTCACCTACCGCGATAAACGAGGGAGCGCTGTATGATTCATAGTAGAGTCTGGGACATCTAATAGATCAACATCAACATTGATTATTGTGCACTGTTATTTCTGTTCAAGGAGAGCAAAAAGTATGAAACACTCTCAGCTTGTTCGTTGCCAAAAATGTGCATGTTCACAAAATGCTATAAAATGTATATTTTATAGCATTTTGTAACTCCGACATGGTTTCAGCTGAATTACAAAAACTGTTCATGCATTTGTGTCATCGCGTTTCGATTATTGTAATTCCCCGTTTACCAGCTTGGATAAATCATCTCTTTCCCGCCTCCAGACCATACAAAATGCAGCGGCCAGGCTACTAACTCACATCACTATTTCATATTCTTCACACTGGCTCCAATAGATGATAAGTTCATGTTTTAACACACAGAGCACTAAATGGCCCCAGATCATTTATCCCAGCTTCTTATAAAACACTCTGCTGCTCGTTGTCTG